CGGCCCGCACTCACTCGTCCCCCTGCAGCAGGCTGCGCTCGGTGATGGGCCGCACGGCCGCCCGCGGGGGCTCGGCGCCCGGACCGGCGGGGCGGAAGCACAGACTCAGCTGCTCCTGCAGGCTGCAAGCCAGCGCCGGGAAGCCGTCGCCGCCCCCGCCCGCCCCTGTCCCCGCTTCGTCCCCGGCCCCAGCCCCGTCTCCGGCTCCGGCTCCGGCCCCGGCCTCGGGGTTCGCATTACAGTTCTCCTGGTCCAGGAGGCTCCCGGCCGGCTCCTGGAACTCATAGAAATCCTGCCAGTCGCCGTCAGCCGCCATAGCCGCCCGCTACACTCGCGCGCCCCGCCCCGGCCGGCCAGCCCGCCCCGCCCACCGCCGGGCCCCGCCCTCCCTCGAAGCCCCGCCCATGACCCCGCCTATCTCCCAAGCCCCGCCCCCGAACCCGCCCCCACGCCCAGCGCGGGTCTTCTGGAGTTGATCCGGTGCCCAGAAAATAGAAGACCTTAGCTGTGTTGAGTCCCTTCCTATATACTCTGTCACTTAGCTATAACTTCCTCCTTAGCCTACCTCGAAAATAACCCCGGCCTAATTGTAGCTAAAATGAAGGATTTCCTTAAATTTACGTCCTCGGGTCAGATGATGCCTGAAGGCGTGCTTCCAAGCTGAGCTCTCCTTTGCTAATTTACAACCAGAGTGCTGGAGCTGCGGAGTCTGCTGCAACCTGTTGTAAAAGCTCCGGAATTCATTCCACAAATACTTCGTATCTCCCACGAGCTAAGCATACGCTAGACGCTGCAGCACATACAAAAGTGAATAATGATTTGCAAAGCACTTAGAAAAACTGCAGGCAATAAATACAGTGCATGCAGTAGAAAGCATACGTGAGGTCTCCCTCCGCGGAGCTTGCGGTGGGATGAGAGTGGCAAGACTGTTGGAAACGTGTATGTACTTGTAAAAAAGAATGACTGAGGGAGGGGAAATTTCTGTTTCAGGAGTTTTGAAAGATACACGGAATGATGCTGATGACGGCTACACAACAATATTCGTCTTATCACTAGGGTATACATTTTAAATGGGTAAGGTGGTAAGTTTATGTTGTGGATTTCACCACAACTTAAAAAATGCGGGAAAAGTATTATTGCAAGGAATTGTGAATCTGTAGAAGCAAATAAGTGTTCAGGAGTTGATAAGAACAGTCATTGGGTTGGACTAATCAAATAGTTCACTTAGGTGAGATATTATTGGGTATTGAGTCCTTATTTTGAGATACAAACCTGAAGTTAGTAATATTTTTACCAGTAGGCTCTGTCCATCCCTTGACTGCGTGAAAACCCAACTTCAATAATACATGCTAATCGCAAAACCTCATTACTGACTTTTGCAATGACTGTTGTCTTCTACTTCGGTGGCTTCTCCCATATTAAGCAAATACAGCTGAGACGGACCCTAAGGAGCTGTTGATGATCACTTCAGACACAAGGGTCCGTGTTTCTCCTAAAGTGATAAAGCGAGCAGATGTTGAGTTCTTCCTGATCAAGAACTACATCGCCAACAGTCAGTATTGTTCTAGCGAGAAAATAACGGATACCCTTGCATTTCTGCGCTCAGAAATGATCTTCTAAAGCCATCAAAGAGCAGGGTTTTTTCTCTGTGTGTTTGAAGATACACACAAAATTATAAGGAAACTATCACCTGTCAAAAGCTCACAATTTTATACATAGCTCAGACACAATTATTTTCCTTTCCATTGACTTCTCGCCATTGGCCTAATTTGTGGGAGGAGAAAATGAAAATTACTGATTCGAAGAACCCAAAAGTAACACTGTCCGATTTTTCATGTTTTTAAATAAATTACCACAAGCTTAACTCTTGTGATCTCAGGATTTTATTTTAGTCAGATTTTCCACACAGGTTACTTTGTTACTTTTAATTAAATGTAAATTACTTGGTATAGCCCTAGACAATTTGAATACTGCATTTCAAAAACAAGATTTTAATCTGTTTTCTTAGTCAATTCATGTTTGCATAACTCACAGTAATCTTGGCACTTGGCCCAATCTATAAAAATATTCCCCAGGAATGCTTTTGTCAGGGGAAAAAAAAACAAAAACCTGACAATATATGTCTATGTTTTTGCCTCTTTATGGGAGCAGAGCAGTGAGATGAGAGGGCTATCATACGGAATGAAATTTAATTGGTACGTCTGACGGTTTATAATGGTTACTATAGGCCTGAAAAATAGCAGCAGAAATCAAGGTAAGTGGTAGAATGTTTGCAATCAGATCAACAGTAAACAGCAGTATTTTTTTCAACGCCTTTCACATATCTCTCTCCCCAGACGGAACCTGGGAACTCAGATTGCTTCATGGCCTCCTCAACCATTTTAGTAAGGGGACCAGTTCCACCCACAATGCAGCCCCATTCCCCTCTGCCCACCTTTTCCTTTCCTTCCATTGATACTTAACTCACATTTCTTTTTCTAAAGACTCCATCCCCAGGGTCTTTTTCCCTAAACCCCTTCACACAATACTTCCTGACAGCAGCCACTTTTTGACAATGCTCCTTAGAAGCCAAATTCTAGTTTTTTTACACTGCCTCACATCAGTCCATCAACACCCAAAACTTGACATGAAGAAGAGGGCCTCACAGTTCAGCACAGCTCACGTAACCTAATTCCACTAATTTGTTATTCTAACATACTTGTTTTGGACCTGTTGTTTCCTATCAATTCCTGCAGGCCATATGAAAATGAATGTAGGTAAGTATATTTGCCAACTTGATAACGTTTACCTATAAAAATAATTTTTACGCCTTCATTCATGCTAGAAAGAGAACATAGCATAACTTTTAATGACAGCTTCATAACTGCTTTTATGTTCATGTAAATCATAGAAGGAACTTGCTTCTCTGATTTGACAGTAAATTTTGCCCATATCACATGTTACAATGGAAATTTAAATAACAATAAAAGGAAAATTAGATCATTCAACAGTACACCACTAAAGTTATATGATTAATCAGAAAATGTAAGAACTACAAAAGAGAGATAGGGCCAGCCAAATAGCTCAGAGGATTAAAGCCAGATGCAGGGGCTGGGAGTTTGATTCCCTGGCCTGCTGTGCTGGCCCCGCCCCCGGGGCGCGCTGAGATGGTGATTGAGACTGGGCATGAGGGCATGCACCTATTAATCCCAGCACTTGGGAGGCTGTAAATAGGAGGATCACTACAAGTCGGATCTACAAAGTGAGACCCTGTACACCCTGTACACCCTGTCCTAAAATACAAAAAAAAAAAGAGAGAGAGAGAGAGAAATTACACAATACAGAGCCAGAAAAAAAAATCTGCTTGTTAAAGTATGTTTAGCAAATACTAAGGGCATTAATGGAACATGAGAAAATACATAAATGAAACTTCTCAAAAAACTGAGTTAATGGTGAAGTTTGTTCCATAACAAGAAGGGGGAAAAACAGAAGACATAAAAGTAAAAAGTATCTTGAAATCTGTATTGACCCAAAAATTTAGGGAAAGGTCACTTGTTTATCAGGTTGGAAAAAGTAGCTTCTTTCCTTTCTTTTCCCTATTGAAAAGGAAAAAAACTTGAATAATCAAAGCCCTCCATGAATAAATAATAATGCTTAAGTAGATGGCTATGCTAATTACCCCCATCTGATCTCTAGACGTTGCATAAAAACATCAAGTTATCACATTGTACCTCATATATACCCCTATTATATGTCAGCTATGAATGTATAAAACACAATCTAGTCATCCTTGCTAAAGAATATTTCGTTCCATTTACTCCAGTTTGGTAGATAGACAGGTGTGAACCTCTAGGGAACAGTATGCCTATTTTATTTTATTATTTATTTATTTATTTTTGGTAGTACCAGAGATTGAACTCAGGATCTTGCACTTACTTTCCAGGCAAGCGCTCATTTTTTTTTTTTTTTTTTCAGAACCGGGGATTGAACTCAGGCCCTTGCACTTGCCAGGGAAGCGCTTATTCCGCTGAGCCATCTCCCCAGCCCCAGTATGCCTATTTTAATAATTAAATTGGAGTCTTCATCTGCTGAGCTTTTTGGCCGGCCCAATCTGAATACAGATTTTTCCATTTCTACCTGATTTCTTTTCAGAATGAGAGCTCAAGTGCCTCTCTAAAAACTCAGTTCCTTCAAGACTATGGTCTACTTTATTGACGTTGTAGTATTTTTCCTTGAAGTTAATTTATATACTGGTAGTGTGAGTTATATATTAAATTAAAAGGAACAATAGGAGAGAGGCATAACAAAACATTGTAATGTTATATAAATGACTACTGCCATTGCGGGTTTCCTTTTTTTTTTTTTTTTAGAAAGCAGAATATTGCTGCGGACCATAGCAGATGTGCTGGAAAGTGTGGCTCTTTGATCAGCTGCTTTGTACCTTGAGAGTGCATCTGTGGCCAGGCCCCTTGTCCCCTTCTCTGGGCTGCTGGGCACTGCCTCAGCTGAGGGTTGCTTGTCTGTATTCTTTCTCAGAGAAAGATGATGAAACTAGAGGAAAAGGACCCTTCAGTAAAGCAGATGAAGTCCATTTCCCTTTGATTTGAAAGAGAGAGGGAGTTTTATTTTGGAGGTTATTTTTTACTTAGATTGAGCACAATGATAAAATGTCAGTAGTGAGTATATTGTCTTAGAGTGACATGACACATGCAGAAACTTGGTGACATCGAAAGAGGCTTTTAAAGACAAATAGACATAGACAATTCAGGGGTGTTGAAATTGAAGAACAGCCAGGAGGCTGGAGTTACAGTTAGATGAGATAAATGGATTGTTTAAATGATTTTTCCTTTGTGGCTGAGCCACATTTAACGTTGATCATATGCAGTATGTTCCATTCTCTGGCATACTTAGCAGTATAAATGTAGTATACAACACTTTTAAGCTTTGTGTAGTCTCAGAACAAGAGAATCAGCCCATCTGGTTGTATTCCAAACATCAGCCAGAGGAATCCCCCCAAATTTGCCCTGGCAAGCAGATTACAAGAATAGACATGAGTGAAGTATACTGTTTCTTTGGAAGTTTGTTTCTCTAGTCTTTGTTCCATCTTTCCTCAGTTTTAACATCTAGAGGTATTATATGTCTTTTGCTATCTTTAAAGAATGAAACTTATGTTGTTAAATGGGGTAGGGGCTGAGGTAAAATTAAGGGTCATAATGCTCTACATAAAACATAATTTTAAAAAGCTGTAGGATTAAAAGGATTTTTTTTCTTTTAAGTGTAACCAAAATGTATTAACAGGAAAGGAGCTGTGTCAATACAGTTGCATCAAAGTAACCTTCTCAAATGTTATGTACCTAA